AGCATTAATTTATGTTGTCTACGGACTGATGACAGTAGAGTCCCTAAGTAAATCACGCTAATTTGGTTGCTGATTGTTATTGTATCATAAACAAAGACTGCATTTACATTTAATTTATTTCTTCTCCGGTACCTGTACCTATTCCATAGAAATAACGGATCGGATATCAGAAATAAAATAAATATTATTTATACACAATTCGTGGGAGTCCTTTATTTAAAAAACTCAATTGTTATGTTTTTTTTAAATCCGTAATATTATGCACCTTTGCTTCAAAAATCTATCGACTTTACCTCATCCCTGTGAAAACATCAAATGAAGTGTCACAGGGATCATCCTAGAAAATTTGTAGTTATAGAAAAGATTTTGAGAGCTTCTAATAACAAATTAGAAAGACATAGTCTTCTGCTAATTGTATTGAAAACTTAGAGGATGGAAAAAAAATAAAAGAAAGAAACTGCCCTAACTACAGAATCAACGTGCATATAACCAAATTTTTTTTTTAAAGTTACTAATGGCGTATTTCTTTAGTGTTGTACCATAATCTATCGATAAGTCATTATCGACATGCAAATGTATGGCTTGAATGTTGAAACTGTTTTTTTTTGTTTCTTTAGTTTACTGTAACCAAACCTAAACAAACACAAGTCTAATAATTTAATCTCGTGTGGTATATTATTATAAATGTCAACACACATTTTTAAACTTAAAAAAAAAAATTTTCAAGATTACAACTGGTAACTTAATGAGTAAAAGTCACCAAACTGCTGTGCAGTTTTTGGCGACATGCGCATTCTTACTTAATTATACCTACTTTACTGGTATATAATAATAGGGGTTAAAGTACTGCCTCCTGGGAAGAAAACTTCTTGTCACGTAGATAATTGTCCAAATCACGAAAAAAATGGTAGTCCGTTGGAGCAAGGTCTGGTGAATACGGAGGATGACGAATGGTTTCTAACTGCAGTTCCTGAAGGGTCAAAATGGTTTCTCGTGCTGTGTGAGGTCTCGCGTTGTCGTGGAGCAATAATGGTGAAGATCGATTCATGAGTCGGGGCTGTTTTACTGCTAGTTTTGTCAACATGGTTCGGAGTTCGGCACATTAGACATCTGCCGTTATTGCTTGACCAGATCGGAGAAAACTATAGTGAATAACACCATGCTGAGACCACCAAACAGTTACCATTACCTTTTTATTGGTAAGTTTTGCTTTAGGACACTGTTGTGGCATTTGACCTGGGGTCAGCCATTGCATTTTTCTTTTCCGGTTATCATAAAGAATCCACTTTTCATCACATGTTACAATTCGATCCAATATTCCTTCATTTCTGTACCGGTTCAACAAGGCAACACAAGTTTCAACACGCGTTTCTTTCTGCAGATCAGTCAAATCATGAGGCACCCATTTTTCGTATTTTTTTATTTTATTGATTTGACGCAAGAATATTGTGGGTAAGGTAACGTTAAACCATGCCGCTAATTCCTGGGTAGTTTGACTAGGATCGGCTTCCACTATCTCTCTTAATTCATCGTTATTCACCTGTGTCGTCGTGTCTTCGTCGTGCCTCGTTCTTTAAGTCGAAATTTCCATCACGAAAGCGTTTAAACCAAAATCGCACGGTGCGTTCATTAGTAGACCCCTCTCCAAACGCAGCATTGATATTGCGGGCTGTTTCTGCCGCGTTAGTTCCGCGTCGGAACTCGTATTCAAAAATCACTCGAATTTTCGCAGTATCCATCTTTCTTGTCTAAATTGAATAACAAAAACAATTGAAAGTCGATATTCAAATGTTTCAAATTAAAAAAAAAAAATCACAGAAACCATTTGAAAAAAGTTTCATTCGAAAACCTCAAACCATGAAGATTCTATGAATATTCAAAGAACCTATTGCAATAAAACGGCAATTTCATACTTTAACCCCTAATATTACATAGTATTAATTGTACTTACTAAATAAAATATAAAAATCACTTTAAGAGGTACGCCTTTAACCCACATTTTAGTACATATTTACATATCGTCTTTTAACTAACTATCAAGTAGGTACCAGTTTTATTCAGGTTTCTGCGGATTCTAGTATTCACGTAATTGGCTTTCTTAAACAAATCAATCTATCAAGCAATTTTAACTGGTAACTTATTTAGTAATAGTCACCAAACTGTTGTGCAGTTTGTTGGCGACATGCGCGCTCTTACTTTTTTTTTAACGCACACACTCAACATTGCCCTACCTATACCTACTTTACTGGCATATAACATTACATAGTATTAATTGTATTTACTAAATAAAATATCAAAAATTACTTTAAGAGGTACGCCTTTACCCTACATTTTAGTACATATTTACGTAACATCTTTTAACTAACTGTCAAATACAAGTCCAAGTGTTTCTGCGGATTCTAGTATTCCCGTTAATTCCCGGGTTTTCTTAAGCAAATGAATCTATCAAGAAATTTTAACACAGAAATAATGGAAGTAGTTGTAAAAATCAATTATCAGAAATCAACAATTATCATGTACTAGCTTTTCCCCACGACTTCGTCCGCGTACAATTTTTATACAAATGAAAAATATTCAAGTATGAAGCAAATCGCACCACGCGTTAAAACGTTACCATACAAATAATTCCCCATTTTTATTATTACCTAATTATTCTCACTGTCAATATTTTTGTCCAATTTAATTATAGTACATGCGAATAATTCAATAGTACATTTGGAAAAACATTTGTTTTGTTTTGACATTTGATGTACTTCCCTTTGACAATGGTATCATGTACCTAATGTACTGCGAAGTAGACACGGTTGGCATTTAAGACGACGTTACGTATTTTCGATTCCCATGTTTGACACAGACCAATGCATTATCTCTTTTGGCTTAATACGGCACGTAATAGTTAAACAAAGACAATAACATGTTTATGTTTTCGACGTCGAAATGCATCCTATACATTAAAGTCCGACCGAAACTGGTTTTCCGGCCGAAACCGAAACCGAAACCGAATGTTCGGCCGTGACTTCAGTTTCGGCCGAAACCGAAACTCACGTGGTCAAGTATAAAATACCTTTATATACTGAATTTTGGTGCATTTTACCCATTATTCTACAATAATTACAAGAAATGAAAGCACTGTGTATTTTGTTGTAACCATTTATTCACTAACTGGTACTGTTTCATTAAATACTAAGTATTGGTATTTGAGATCTTACTAAATAATACTTTGGTTTGCATTTGTACTTAAAAGAATCATCAGTCTCTTTTACCTCTTATATAAAACTAATCATTACTATAATTACTATTAAACTCTTAATTCCAGTCTCAACAAAGATAGATCACACATTTAGAATAAACAAAGGTACCTAGATCACAATTAGTAGGACAGTCTTACTTACATTTAGAATTAAGTAACTCACTACTACACTACAGTAAACAAACATTTAAATTGAAAACAGTTATAAAAATTAATAATAAAACTCTTAATATCCTATATATACTACCTTAATCTTTATCTTAGTTTCAGTCTCAACAATAATGGATCACAATGGTAGGATAATCAAATCACAAATTTAGAATTAACAAAGATACCTAGATCACAATTAGTAGGACATTCTCACTTACATTTAGAATTAAGTAACTCACTACTACACTACAGTAAACATTTAAATTGAAAACAGTTATAAACTCAAATAAAAAAACTTTTAATGGCTCATATTTAGGGCTACCTTTTTGGTTTCTGGTATTATTAATAATTATAATTAAAAAGTCTTATATTGTACGCCAAGAAAAGCAGTTTGTCAACGTTTTCACCTCATAAATTATTGCGACGATCCGAGTATATTTGGCCAGCAGCACTAAACAGCTGCTCCCTCGGGACACTGGTAGGTGGAGCTGAAAGGTATTTTAAAACTGCACGTCTCAACATAGGATATGGACTGCTGTTCCAATAACTGTATATGTCAGGCCGCTGACCCAGGATAATAACCCTAATGCAGAAAAACTAAATCAATAAATCATCGGAATAAAAACAAATCTTGAAATAAGATTACCTATACAACGTTACAGTTTTTTCATTTATTATCTCTTTTTACATGTGACTTGATTTGCTAATGACAACAAAACAAAGTAACTGTTCTAACTCAATATTAGACTATTTAAATGATTCAAGTACAGAAATAAAACAGAAACTTACCTACATGTAATCCAGTTCCATCAAAACATAACCTCCAAAGAATGTTCAAGTCGGGCGATAACGCACTGAGTAAGTGTTTGTTGCTACGTAGCTATCCGAACGCGCCGCGCCGCACGACAATTCATGAACATGGTGGGAGCCGCCAAGGTTCGCCATAGCGTTGCCGCGAGAAACGAAGTTAGGCGAGCGCGCACGACGACTTCCGAAATGAGTTCCGGTTTCGGCAAAAGTTTCGGCCAATTTTGGCCGAAACCGAAACTGCGGCCGAAACTTGATTTTTTGACCGAAACCGAAACCGAAACCGAAAGTTCGGTCGGACTCTTATACGTATAACGTCTGATTTATATATGTCAACGTATGTTGACATATATGTGTTACCATAGTCTCATATGGGTCGTATTCTACAATTCATTTCAAAAAAATTTTTTTAGTGCTTTGAATCATACTCAAGTCGTGACTTGAGCATTGAGTAGAGTTCTAGAATACGACCCTGAGATTGAAAACGTGTGTCACGATGGGGCCAACATAAAAAAGTAAAGTGATAAAAGAATATTTTGCTAATGGATTCGCTCTGGACCTTTTGGAGGGAAAAGTGTCGTTTTTATTTTGACTTTCAATTATTTTGTGCAATCTAGTATAAAGTGGAATAGGATAGTGCTATTGTGCCTTAATCGAAGATTAAAACACGAAATTATACGAATCTCGAACTAAAATACCCGTATCGCCACCCTTTTAAGGAATCCCGAGTCAATCCAAGCACGCCGCCTCAAATTGCCTATCCTCTTTGTGGCGGCCATATTTACAGAAACATAATTAAACTTCATGTTTAGGCTGATGGCTTTGCCAATGCCTTAATAAAGAAAAAAAAAAAAAAAATATTTTGCTAATTCTGTCCAGAATCAATTTTAGTGAGTATTGTGTTTTGTGATTTTAGGTTCTGTGTTCAATGTAATGTAATGTGTAATGTAATGTAATTTTTTATATGTCTATCGGTGCATGAGTTTCAGTAAGACCAAGTAAATATTTTATATAAGAGAACAAATTAACTATTATTGGTAAAACTTAAAGTCCCTGTGCAATCTCTGCGCTTATTCCACGTGCTTGCATTTTCTGAATTTACCAGTCATAAGGAGCGCACGTGTCCGGGTTAGAATTGTGATATTTGTGGATTTTCCTCAAAGTACCTATATACGTGATTTTTTGGTGAAGAGGTGTCTTTTGTATATTCCCACAACCTGAACAAATCCCTTATTTTAACGGACTCATGAGCTGCTTACTGGTCTTGGTTACATGCCCAGTCCATGCTGAAGAAACTTTTGTGTGACTTTGCAAATTAAACATCTCATAAAAAAATGTCATATGGAAAATATTGAAGTGGGCTTGACATGGATCCTGGACCACAGTGACATAAAAGGTAGCGAAAGTGCAAAAGAAGCCACCATGCTTGGCAAGTAGATTGTATGACCAGTGTTTGCCTTGCGACCCTAAAGATATTCAATTCAATTCAATTCAATTCATTTATTCATACGTTATTACAGGTACATGATATAGATGATAGCATTGCTCTCCCACAAATGTCTGGAACTTTCCTTGGCAATCTTTCCGCCAAAAAGTTCCACCAGAGCTACTCCCTAAATCTTAATGTTCACTAGAAAATCGATCTTGAAAAATGTGACTTCTGTGATCATTAGTGTACATTTACCTCCTAAATATGTACTCTAGTGTTCTTAGCTGAGATTTTTAGCATTTTCGAGGTGTTTCTTGACTGCAACTCTATTTTTAATTCTTCTGTTTGATATCCTTCTTCCTAAAATCCTTCATCTTGTTAATATTTAAATAATCCAAGGTCCTAACATTAGTACACTTCCTGTTTAAAATGCCCTTATTTATGAAAATTAACAATTTGTGTCTGTTTATAAAAGTTTGTGTTTTCTGTTGTTGTAGGTTCTCTTCTAAGTGAAGTCTGTAACTGAAAATAACCAGTCATATTCTGAATAATAAACTCATGCGTATTCAACTTTGATGTTAATGGACTCATCAATGGTATTGATGGAGCTTTAAAGAAAAATTGTGTATTTATTATGTTTTATATGCCAAATGTGTTTAGAAGAATGAATAAAGATAAGTTGTCCAGTAAATCGTTAAGATATGCCGCCAGGTTGCGGGAAAGCCGAGGAATATGTTGTACAGAAATTCCTGGGCCAGTATGTAATATTTATTTATTTTTTACATATTCCGTCATAATATTTCATATTTATTATATTTTTACATATTATATATTTGCTTTGATTCCTAACATAAACAGTTGTGTTTTTAGAATATCATCATTTGTAATGCGGGACAGGCAGTTGGGCTCACAAAAGAGCATATGATTGAGCAGATGGTGGCCTATGGTGTGGACGTTAGTACACTAAAGAAATTTGTGTCAGTAAAGGGAGAATGTTTCGCTTTCCTTGTGTTTAACAGTACGGAGGCTGCTGAGGTGTTCTTTAAAAAAGTAAATGGCCGTCGTCTCTCAGGGGACATTGGAGGGGAAATCGTATATCAGTATGTGGAAGAAAGTGAGTTTCTAAATAATGTAGTGTTTTTTGTATTTAATTATATTTTCCTGTATTTATTTGTCCTTCATATTATGTTCTACTGCTGTAGGTCCAAGTGAATGTAAATACTACCTATGCGCTCAACTGCACTATAGCTGACATCAAGTTATGACGCTGATATTGTTTTTAGAGGTAGACATAAAGCTCAGAGGAAAACTGTACCTTTTTTCAGCTTTAGGAAACGAAACATTGTGGAAAACTAAAGCAAAAATACCTTTGATACCTTTTCTCACACAATAACAATAAAAGTTCAATTTTACATTTTATGAACTATAAATGTGATGCTATTTTGTCAAGCTTATATTTGAAGCTGGGAACAAGTTTGTAAAATTAAGCTACTATAATACAGAATACCTATAGTTAAAAACTTCTTGAGCGATGTACCATGCAGTTTTTGTAAAAAAAAGAAGTTTTTTATACATAATATTATATGTATACATGGAAACCTTACTAGACAGAAACAAATCTGCTTGATATGGGTTTGAAGGCTAAGGCAACTACTGTTCGCTGCGCGATGGCCTCATATCAATGTTTTTGGACAGAAATGAATTTCCCTCACCACTACTTCATTTAACAACCCTATAATTTAAAAGAATATGTTGTAGAAAATTTTGATGACTCAATATTATAAAAACAATGTTCTAACTTTAAAACTTCACAGGGAGCAGCCCTCCCTGAACTCTCAGTCAGTTTTTCAACAGTCTGACCTACCTCGGTAGTGCAATTATTGTTCCATCATAGTTAACGAAAATCGTAAAGAAAATACTAAGCTTGTTATGTATAAGTTGAGTTGTTTTTCTACCTTTGTGGTACGCTTTATTATTTTTTTAAAAAAGCTAATAGAAAAACCCTCAGTATTAGATGATTATTAAAGTTTCATCTAAGTCCATTCAGCAGTTATGAAGTTTATTCTGAATAAATATCTAGACCGATATCTAGAAATAGAGAAAAATTCTAAAAACTGTCAAATATGCTTAGACATTGAGTAAATAGACTATCTTGTTTAGATGTTAGTATTAATTTTAAATTACAAAGTTACTCTAATATCTGATTTTTAATATTATTATTTTTACATTTTGTTTGTTTTTTTCTTTATCTTAGAATGAAGTTGTTTATTTTATTTTGTAATTTCTGTTTTAGGTTCTGGTGAGTTTAATTTTATATGTATTTCATTGATATATAAAACAAATATGTTTTGTTATGTTTTCAATTTCTTGAATGGGTGAATGAAATACATGTTATTGTACAACACTGTCAACTACAGGTATCTTCCATTCATTTCTTATTCAGTTGTGGATGATGAGTACATATGTCTCTACGATATTCCCAAAGGCCTTCATTTATTGAAGGAATTTTTGACCAAAGAAGAAGAGCATCAATTCTATTCACATTTTGATTGGATGGAAGCCCCAAAAAAAGATAAGAAGCTGAAGAATCGTCTTGTCAAACATTTTGGATATGAATTTAGATATGGAACCAACGATGTTGATTTGGATAATCCATTGGAAACAAAGATTCCAGATGTTTGTAATGTATTGTGGGAACGATTGAGAGAACATGGATTCGATTTGGGCATACCTGATCAGCTGACTGTGAATAAATATTTGCCTGGACAAGGTATTTGGTTGTTTTTCTTATTCCAAATCTTGATTAGTCTTAAGAAGTTATAAGGTAAGCCAATAAAAGTTTGTGTGACAAACGTGTATAGTAATCACGCGTATATTGTTTACTACTTTTAACCAAAACATCGTAGGAAATATTAACGCGACGACATAGCGACAACTAAAATGTATACTTTTACACACTTAACGTGTAATTTTCATTGGTACTTACAGAAGACGTGAGGAAATGCATTATCTTTTTTTTCAGGCATTCCTTCACATGTGGATAAGCACAGCCCCTTTGGTGACACTATCTTGTCTTTATCTCTGGGGTCTTCAGTAGTGATGGATTGGAAACATCATACTGGCAAATATGTTCCAGTTGTGGTACCATCTCGTTGTTTGTTGGTTATGCAGGGCGAGGCGAGGTAAATACTTGTTTAATGTAATGGAATATTAACTACTTTACAGACAAATACTTAAAATTAAAAAGAAAGGCAAATAAATTATCGTTATATTGTGAAATACCCGTGGTAGCTAATGGTTGCCCTCTCAAGCAGAGGTCGTGAGTTCGAATCCGAGGTCACACCTCTGAGTTTCTTGTTATTTATGTGCGAAATTTACTTTGTTTCGGTGAAAGAAAATATCGTGATGAAACCTGCACGTCGAAGATGGTTAACAATCCTCGGAAAACGTGTAAATTCTCCAACCAGTATTGGGCCAGATACCCGTGCCCAGCAGTGGGACGTATGAATGGGTTGATGATGATACTGTGAAATATCGTTGAATTAAAAGTAAAATCAAAACCACATTATCTTTTAGATATGATTGGCAACACGGGATAAACACTCGAAAGTGGGATCCGGTCGTGGACGAGAACCGCGTAATGACGATCAACGGTGAAGAGAAACGTGTACGCGTGGTTACCAGCGACTCTGTACCCCGCCAGACCCGCATATCACTAACGTTCCGTTGGACCAGAAGAGGCCCTTGCGAATGTATTTATAAGACCTTGTGCGATGCCACTGACAAAAAAGAGATTACGGAGGAATTGGCTGCCAATTTGGAGGAATTGCATGTTCATAAGGTACTAAGATTATTGTTATTGCAATATGCACGTTCTTATTATCTCGTGTACAAAGTGATGATATACCAACCAATTTATGTTGTTAACATAAGGTTCAAATAAGATATACATATCTACAAATTTGACTAGGTTTTGAATTTTTTTTGTGTAATTATGAACTTTTTGTTACTCTATCAAAATTAAAATTAATTTACAGACTTTTGTCTTTTAAGTCTTTGTATATTTATTTATTGCATGGGAAAAACACAGATTACATATTACTCAACACAAACAAAAGGTACTGCTTATTTTGATAAGAAATTTCTCCCTGCAGACCTAAATACAGGACAAATTAACTACAATAACGTGTTTCGTGCGCAAAAAACAAAATTACGTAATACAATATACATAAATAATATTCATTAAATACAAATAATTTCAACTATTATAAACTAGGTAATAATAAAAATACGTGTTTCATATACCTATAAAATGGATGGAACAGTAGATAAATAATGCTTCTTAACTCTCAATTTAAAAGTAATTGTAATAAATATAACGGTATCTATGCATTTTGGCAGGTGGAGATCTATGTTCTCTGCCTACCCCGGTGGGAGAGAAGCGTCATGACATGTATGTATCTAGGTGAAGTACTCTGTTTTTAGGTGTATGAGCAAATAGCCAGTCACTTCAATATGACACGTCACAAGGCTTGGCCGAAAATTGCACATTTCATGAAGCGCCTCGACCCTGGATCTATTTTGCTCGACTTAGGAGCCGGAAACGGCAAGAATTTCGCGAATAACAATGATATTTTTCAAGTAAGTTTAGTTTTATTTCATTTAGTCCAATTATTATGAGATTATTTACTCGCTGCAGACTCGGGCATAAATCATCTGAGCGGTAATGCGATATTGCGCTCTCTTCCACTTGCTTAGTGTTGACATACGCGACGCGTGCGTAAACCTGAGACTATGGAAACCAAAGGACAATTTATATTGACATATATAAATCAGGCCAAAAGAGACAACACTACATTGTTTTATGTCAAACACAGGAATCGAAAATACGTAACGTCGTCTTAAATGCCAACTGTCCTCATTTTGCTATTTTTGTAGTACCCTTTGATAACTGTTTCCGGTTGTCAAAGGGAAGTACATCAAATGTCAAAACCAATGTTTGGCCAAATGTTTTGGTGAATTATTCGAATGAATTGTAATGAAATGGACAAAAATATTGACAGTGAGAACAATTAACTATTGATAAAAGTATCGCTGCAGCATTAGGCTGCCTTTCCACCAGAGATGTGCGAGGTAGCGAGGCGGTGCGAGGATGTGTAGCGGCGCTGTGAAACGGTGTAATGTTTTCCACCAAAGTTGTGCGAGGATGCGTTACGAACTCTTTCTTAGCTATGCGCGGGCGGGGTACGGTGTAGTGGGGTAAGCGGTGGCGATATGTCAGTGTCAATTAGGGTCGTACTTTCAGTAGCTCTAGTTTCCTACACCGTTTTGCACACATTCCTCGCCCGCATCACTCGCACACATTTATCCCTATTTTGTGTGTACAAATACTTAGCTGCACTTACACTTTTCCACCGGAGCTACGCTAAGCGAGGCTAGGAAAATAAAGTAATTCTATTAGTGGATTTTTTCTTCGCACACTGCTTCGCTACGTAGCACATCTCTGGTGGAAAGGCAGCCTAAAGGGGTGCGGCAGTAGAAAAAGCGGAAATCAACCGAATGTTACATTACACCGGTGTGTAACATGTGTTATTTTTCTGCCTATAAATCATACAGTAGCCCAAACATCTCATGTAATTAGACTCATTTAAGTAGTTTATTCATAAGTCTTGCCGAAGTTTGCTTTGTTTATTTTAGATTTGGTTAATTTAGATTTGCCTGTTTGTTAGTATATTTTGATGATTGTTGATAACGATTATTTTGAGATAGCGTTGTTCTTGTAAGCAGACATATTATCGATATTCTGTTATTGAAACAATTCACAAAGAGGTTTTTATTGTTTCATTATTATTATTTTAAAGTTTACCTACAAATGAAAAAATAAAGAAATTATAGGACTGCTGAACATAAACATTGGATCAAATACCATCTTCGTTTGTTCGCTGCATTTTGAAGAGTCAAATTTTAATAGAACTTTGAATGTAACTAGATTACACGATAATGCAATTCCATCGTTACATTTATTGGTAAATAATTTTATATGGAAGACCCACATCCAAAAGAAACGTGATGAACTCAATTACAGAAGCAGGTTCTTGGAGTGGCTACTGGGTAGAAGGTCTAAAGTATCTCTGGAAAACAAACTAACTATCTACACGACAATTCTGAAACCAATTTGGACCTACAGTATTGAGCTTTGGGGAACTGCTAGTCAGTCAAACATTGAAATTCTGCAACGATACCAAAACAGTATGCTTATGCTAATTACAAATGCCCCATGGTTCACTAAAAGACATGACATCCACGAATATCTTATAATGCCTATAATTATTGGGGAAATAACTAGGCTAACTATGTCCTATAAAGAAAGAATAGGCACTCATACTAATAAGTTAGCTAGCGCATTGTGTGTACCACTACGGACGAGAAGATTGAAGCGTAAACACATTTGGGATTCACCTAACTGAGCTGAATAGTTTTCTACATAAAGGCAACCCAACGTTGGAAGGATATGCCTGGCATGCCAAAATGTATTTAAAAAATGAACTGCTTATGGTCTCGCATAGGACCGATTGCATGTAGGCAAAAAGAAAAAAAAACCTTTATATTTAATTTTGATTAAAATGTTTCATTACTTGCCTAGTAATAATAGCCTAGTATTAATCATACTTTGATTACAGTAAACTATACAAATTTGCAAAGATAAAAAACAGTTTTAACATGCAAGCCATACATTTGCATGTCGATATTGACTTATCTATGATTGTGGTATAACACTAAATCCGCCATTTGTGTGGTACAATTTTGGTTTAGTTAAGTACGTTTATTCCGTAGATAAGGCCGCTCCATTGATCTACCAACAAATGGACGTCGGGTTCTCGCTAAAAATTGTCCGCACTTATAGGGCGTTAAAATCGTATACAGAGCGTCAATTGTGCAACAGTCTTCGTTTGTTCGACCGACAGCACGGTTGTCAATCATGCGGTACTACATATTAATAACTTCTAAAAATTACTGCAGTAAAGTGTAAACACAGGATTTTGTATCATATTTTCACTAAACCAATACATTGTTATATCATAGTTATCATTTAAAAGATTATTTTGTGCAGTTGTATAATATTTAATTTATGTATAAATGAATCGAAAATATAAATTACAAAAGCAAAAAAAATAATCAAATAGCTAACTGCCCTTTTTCTACACATTGCATGCGCAAAAGATGGAAAGAGACCCATTACGTCATTTTCAAGAAGCTTATATAAACTTCTTGGTCATTTTCAATTGTTCGAACCACAATGATTGAAATATTTAGAACAAAGAAACTATAGAGTCGCCTTGATTTTAATCTGATTTTTAAAAAGATTTTTTATTGAACGTTATCAATGACTAACAAAATATTGTTGTAATCGTTTTACGGCTTGGGATTACTTATCAGAAGTCAGAAAATACATTTGCCCGAAATAACGTTAGCTCGAATTGTCATGATGTCAAATGAATTTTTTTAGGAATATTACAAATCAAAAGTTAATTTTGTCTTTGTGAAAAGCATCAAAATTACTTGAAAATGTAACGGTTTTATTATAAATCGGTTTTTGGAATTACGCATATTTGAGTTTAAATTAGTTGGAATATCGGTACATTTTTTATAGTACACGCTTATTTTCGTACACGTTTGCAATATTTGTATGTATGTATCTGCCCAATGCTTTATTATTTTTTAAAGTGAATTTGTACAAAATTCGACATAATAGTATATAAAAATAATAATTAATATTTACAATAAAGGACTGAATCGGGAATGTAAACCCTTTTGCTTGATACGACGATGATGTACATAGACATCTGAGAGATCCACCATAGCTCTGTCAGGCTGTATGGTTTCACGAGTGTACACGTTTGTCGACGGTTAACTTCGGACATTTTTTTCGTGGTTTTCGTATTATGTCCATGATGATATTAGATATTATATGATATTATGTCATGATGTCCATTTGTTGGTAGGTCAATAGGCAGCTCCTTTATTTTTTTCTATCCTCTAAGGCCCATTATCGATAAAAACAAAGGAGTCACTATAGGTGCGCGGTCGGTGCAGTACTCTAACTTATTATCTGCTATCGTTTAAATATCGCATCCTTTTTTTTATTTTATTACTATTATTATCAATAATAATGTGTTAAAATTTTAGAAGAAAATTAAAGATACCATGAAATTAGGAAGTTTTTCGCACGTTTTCTTGACCTTACTAATATTGCACTTACTTACTCACTTACTTAATATTGTATGTTTAATTTGCGTTGTATGTATTTCATAAATAAATTATTATTTATTTACATTCCTACTTTCATAATTACAACAAAATTAAACGTCAACTATACCGATAGCGTCTGTCACTGCAATAATGCATAGCCCTGGGCTTACACAAAAGACCCGTACCTGTCCACATTCTACTGGTGTGTATTTGAGAGAGAGAGCGCGCAATATCGCTATCCCGCTTCGATAATTTATGGCCGAGTCTGCAGCGAGAAAATAATCATCCTATAATTTTTGTGCATTGCAGTATTTCAAAATTGTAAAGTTTTAACTCTTTCATGGCATAAGCAACTTTTGTACAAGATAGAAAATTTTGCGACAAACAGGGATGGCAATTTACCATGAAATGCTTGTACATTTACAGATAGCTGGTGAACGCTGCAGTGGTCTACTTAAGGAGTGCAAAGAAAACATGAAATCACTTAAGCTCTCCAATTGCATCAGACTGGACCTGCTCAACCCGTGTCTGATAGACAATTGCGCTGACGTCATCTTGTGCATTGCCGTAATACATCATTTCAGTAGCCTGGTGAGTTAGGAGTTATAAATACAAAAATACACAAATAATTTCAAGCTCTTTATGTAGGCAGTCATTCACTACATAACCTTTATGATAATGATAAATAGTAGCCAATAATGCTATTGTCAGCTATTGCAGTAGGTGTGAAAAATGCATTGCTTTTATTTAAAGATATTTATTAATTTCACATTTCATATGTTCCTTATTTCAAATCTTGCCAATAAATTTTAAGCCTATTCCTATTATATGTTGAGTTATAATTTTGTTTACAATTTGTTAACCCAATGACCAACAATATGATGAGAAATAAAAGTTAAGTTTTTAAAATTAGCTCACATAATTTGTTAGGAATAACGCTTATCCGGCTGACGGACCAAATTAATACATAACTTTGCAGGGAAGGCGACAACAAGCCGTGTCAACTATATGTCGTTTGTTAGCCCCTGGGGGTGTAGCACTGATTACCGCGTGGGCTAAGGATCAGTCGGATTCACACTACTTGCACAAACACAGGGAGCAAAACCCTATGGATGAAATCCGATCCATCGGAGCCAGTGGCCTGACACTACCTGTTCACGAAAACAGGACTCAGTTCAAACATAACGACATATTGGTGCCATGGAAGATGAGGTACGCAGGTGAAAAGAATTCAAACGATATCGAGAGCGTATTTTATAGATTCTACCATGTGTTCGAAGAAGACGAATTAGATGATTTATGCAAGGATGTACCCGGCATTAAAATTCTAAACAGTTTTAAAGAGGATGGTAATTGGTGTGTCATAATTACGAAAGAAAGCGACAAAAGAAAATCTGATAAAAGTAGGAAAAAAACATCAAAGTAAAAAAAATCCGGATGAAAACGAAAATATGCACGATTAATAACGAATAATACAACATTTGAACATCTGTATTTTTTAATTTCTGAAAAAACACCTACAAAAAATGATTATATTATCATAAATGACTAAACAAAACAAGCACAACAATAAGAACAGACAATTCTTTAACTTTGATACAATATAAAAATACGTTTTTGGTTGATTTCTTCAGATTAAGTATGCTATAGGTCGACAGGAAAGACGTACGTACGCAAATCAAACGGTTGAAGTATTCACGTTTAAATGTAAAAATACGTTTTTGGTTGATTTCTTCAGATTAAGTATACTATAGGTTCACAGGAAAGACGCACGTACGCAAAAGCTTTCAAACGGTTGGAAGTATTCATGTTTGAATATAAAAATACGTATTTGGTCAATTTCTTCAGATTAGGTATGCTATAAGGTAGATAGGAAAGCGTAAGTACGCAAAAGCTTTCAAACGGTTGAAGTATTCACGTTTGAATGAGATATGATACCCCCGGCTTTAATTACATGTAGGATAAATAGTTAATGCCCTTATCTTTATGCAAACGAAACAAGTGAATCATCTAAAGAAAACAATAAAGACATGGACGTAGTCGCAGAAGAAATGAAATTTTCGCAAACATTATCTTATTCACAATGAAAAATACAAATTGGTTTAATATTAATATTTACAATAACAAAGTATAACAAAACACCACTTTTAACAAAATACAAATTTTAAACTATTTCTAAATTGAATTCGTAAGATGAATATTTCCATTATAAATGTAGTCGAAAAATCTGTGGACCTGTTAATTATTCACGGTCAGAATAAAAAATAGGTAAAATTCATAATTATAATAGATCAAATTACAGTCCCAGACACATAATTCGAGCTGCCTTGCATTTTCATCCTTAAAGGGCTAGAATAAAAGATATAGTTAGCATCGAAGAAAAAGGTTTCCCCGGTTTTTTAATTTCAAATTTTCAATAAGGTCTTAAGGAAATGACGTTTAGCATACCACTATTTCAAAATTGCATAATAGTTCTTAATCAATCAAGCATTGTTTAAGCTAAGGGCATTTAATATTGAAAATGCAAGGTGACTCGAATTGTGTCCAGGAGTATATTTTCAAACTCCCAAAATATCTCAGACGATGTATTTGTTATTGTGATTTACCAGGTTACTTAGCAGGCGAGGATGGATTGAGGTAGTTTTGAGTAGGGGGTCGTGGTCTACAGATATTTCGATCATAGACAAAACTATTTTTGTTCAAAAATTCTTATTACGTAGGTAGTAATTAGTAAATATCTTTTTTTTTTGTTTATATGCGTGTCTGTGCTAGTGTAATAAACAGTTTTCTTTCTTTAAATATCGAAACTTTAAACTGAATGAATACGTGAAATCTTCATAAAATGAACAATTTCTATTTACAAATTAACTTTAGTGTAGCCGGTAAAGATTGCAAACATTGCATTAACATTTGTACAGATTGAATTTTTACCTAAGGTTTCATCAAAGCCAGTTGCAATAGAGGTATAACTGAAATAGTAGATAAATCTGCTAACACTGCGTCGACGTTTTGTATCGTATTGACTTGGAAGATGTTTTCTTTTCTGAAGCTCAGTATTGCCAGTGCTAATAATGGAAGGATTTCAAGACAATCGTAGCCCAGTATGGCATCCCAAAGTAAAAGAAGCTGGTCCGGTGGTAAATGACCACTAAACGCTCGCATTAGCCATTTGAACACCACTCTGATTCTGAAATGTAATTGTAATTTAAGAATTTGAGACATCATAATTAAAAAATGGTAGTACACTCCACATTATTTTATCTTTTTTAATATTTACATGTTGATATTTATTTTGATGACCGCTGAGAATTTACTTGCTGGGATAGTAGTTTAGGATGGGTGCGCCCTGCAAGTGAAGGTCTTCTACGAGGATGTAAATGTGCATATCAGAAGATTGTATTTCGGATTTTAAGCCGCGGGGTTGTTCGCATTTTGAATTAAAGAGTTCGAATCTCGATCTCGTATATGAGGTCGCCGCCTAATGTTACGTTATCCAGGAGCTATTTAAGTTGAATTTGTAATCTAGTTTTGATTTGACGTTAGAGAGAAGATCGCAAACTGAAAGGGTCATCCTATTGACAGTCGACTGCTGAATGTAAACGATGTCTCTGTATATTAATTTAGATTTAGTACTTATATAGTTTTGATTTGGTACTTCTGTCAAAAGGGCGGCCATGCGAATGAAGCCTTACGTAAGTTTTAGACGTAAAGAAACACCGAATTCTCTAAACTAGTACCCATTATAAAGGTCGTTTAGAAAAAGTATTCGAAAGATAATTAATTTGCTTTGAAGGGTGTCGAGTACTCATAGCAAATATCAGTTATTACAATATGAATACCATTTAACGTCCTTTTTTTGGAGTGACTAAGATAGCAAGATGATGGACTTTTCTATATAGCACACAGTACCGGCACGCTATGATGGCTGTTTTAACAGATTGCAATAGTGAGGTAAAATCTTAATTCATTATCGAAAAAAATATAATCAAATACGAGTCGCATCTATAAGTTTCAAGATTTATAACTAGCATTGCAATGCGTAGCTGATTAGAAGGTTTTAATAAACCGAAAAAAAAAAATGTTTATTTAATATATCGTTAATTCTAAACTGCTTTGTTTTGCATTGAGCTTTCACGCGAGTTTGCCGGAGGTAGAAGTTGTGCTGGACAGCGATCCTTTAAGTGACGATCGTATTACTAGATTTCATTTTTTAAAAGTACGAATATCGAAAAACAAATGCCGAAGTTGTGTCCTAAAATTATACATCCATAAATTTTACTGTACGCCACTACTGACAATGTATATCAATTAGCTTCTTCAACATAGTCATGCATTAATATGAAACTTAATGAGCGTACAAACGTCAATACGGCCTGTACTATAGTATTGAGTGTTGAGTGTGAGCGTTATTGAAATTGTTGCAATCGTTTGAGTTGTTTACGGCACTCAGGTTCTAGGAAGCCGATAACAGTAAGTAACAGGAAGCCGTGTCGTGCCCGCGCGAACAGGCACCTATCTCTCACAAATAAGGTTCAATATTAACTAACAGTAAGTAACAGGAAGCCGTGTCGTGCCCGCGCGAACAGGCGCCTATCTCTCACAAATAAGGTTCAATATTAACTCACTAATTAACCTTGTACGTGGAGAAGAAATGATAATAATAATAGTTATAATATATTCCCTTCTATAGTTCTATATTCCCTTATTATCCACCTAAGGTGACTAATCCGCATACTATAAATTAAACGAGGGATTAGTTTTTGACATGTCTTTACTATTTTATATTATTAATATCTGAACGTTGTAGACAGTAGTAGGCAATCCATTTAGACAATAGTTTAATATGGGAAATAATAAAGGTTCCGAAAAATAAGTTAAATTGCAGGGAACTAATAGCGGCGAAATTGTGATACTGAGCTGCGTTACTGAAAAATGTAGGTACACATAATGCACCGACAAAAATAATTGCATGTAGCGAACAATCAAGCACTTGTTCAAATCACAACTCAACGAAAAAACAATATACGTGTGGTGCACTATAAGTTTCTGGAATGAATAAGAAAAAAATACTACATATAAATGGTCAGAAATGAATTTATGGTTTCTCAAAATATACTTCGTTAGCGTTAATGCACTTTTTTATACGAATGAACCAATTTTGATCCCTGAAACATATTTTTCATACTCTTCGACAGCCTCTTCAGGTGATGAAAATCGTTGACCGCGTAAATGGTTCTTGATTTTTGGAAATAAATAAAAGTCGTAAGGTGCCACGTCGGGACTGTACGCGGGATGGCTCCTAAGGTCAACCTTCAAAAATTCATTTGTCTGTCTGGCCGTGTGAGAACGGGCATTGTCGTGGTGCAAGATGATACGGCGTTTACGGTTATTTTTACGGAGTTTGTCAATAACTTCCGGCAAACAAATGGTCGTGTACCAATCACTATTCACAGTACAACGATTCTCCAAAGCAACAGTAACCACGTGACCAGTTTTATTAAAAAAGAAGCAATCATCCCCTTAGAGGCACTTTGCACGCGCGCCACTATGGTTAGTTGGCTCATCTCGAAAGACCCATACGCTCGATTGCTGCTTTGTTTTGGAATCGTAACTATAAATCCATGTTCCGCCACCTGTTACCATGTCCCACACCAAATGTGACGTTTCGTTGAATCTGGATGTTTGTGTGGTATTGATTGTATTTGACTCATGCCTATGCCTAAAGATGCCCGAATCTCATGGTATGTCACATGCCTGCCTGTTTTGATCATACGGCGCACAGCATCCATGTTTTTGTTGATCACAGCGGTGGAAATTCGTTACTGAGATTCACACGACCGCGTTTGAATTCTGCAAACCAGCTATAAATAGTCGTCTTGCATTGTGCTTCAACGCCAAAAGCAGTTTGAAGCCGAGCGAAGCTCCGCTGAGCAGTTAAATTACACTTGAAAGTCGTAGAAAATCATACTACGAAAATTTTCACGAGTTAAATCCATGGTGATGTAGACAACCAATTCCTAAAATGACGCCACAATGTAAAAACAAGTGACAGTCAGATGAAACAAACTGTATTACACAGCCAAAGAGTTCCATTTTCAAATGTTGTAATTACTTTTTAAATATTGTTTATGTACATGGCCAGTTCCGGAAACTTATAGTGCGCCCTATGTAATATACTAAACTACCGAATAATATACTAAACTTCCGAAAGAAAAGAAAAAGATCGGTAAAGTATATTACCGATGTATATCCCATGTTGTCACTCATAATAGTATTTCCGTATGATGGGAACGTTTCACAAGCACTAAAATCGATTAAATAAACCTATAATAATAAATAATACTTTATTTCGGACAAAAACAATTACGCATAGTTTGTTAGTAAAGTACAAATAAGTTTAGTATGATGCAATTCAAATATTAAAATTAAAATAAATTAAAATTCGAAACTAAAATCATAAAATAAAATTAAAATACAATTACGGAAAATTACATTAACACACATAAATAAGAAAAGTAAAATAAAATAAAATAAACTTAAAACTAAACCGCCACGTGAAGTTGCATCCAGTGACCCAGGTATTTATTTTTAAAATTAATGAGATCACTGTCACAAAGGGAGACCGGGTACAACACAAAAAGGCTAGCAATAGGTTTCGGTAAAATATAGATAAAATCGGTAGAGTAGAATTACGTCAGCAAGATTTGTAGGAACTTTCAGTATTTCATTCAAAACACAGAAAAGTTTTCACAAAAGTTTTCGGTAGGTTAGTAAATAACGCAGAAATATTCGTTTGAAATAGATAATTTTTAATTTAGTTTTCGGAGCTTTTATTACTACCCGTGTAATAGTAGTGATGTTAGTGAGTAAAAAACTTACGGATTTATATTGATATTCCGAAAATGTATCCAGAGCAGTGGTTCATTAGCTTCAAGTAATCTTTCATATAGTAGACATAGTGACACTATACCCTAAAATTTGAAAAAAATAAATTTATATTAGTTAAGTATCTACACACCATAACACACATTATACTCCATAGTACACATTTTTAAACGTAGGACACGGAAAAGGATCTCGTCGTTTTAAGCAGGAATTCGTTGTTTAGAACTCGGATAAAAAATATACTAAAAAAACAAGTTTTTTTTCAAATTTTGCTAAAAAGACAAGTGTTTTTTTTTTTAATTTATGTACTGCTCAATAGAAATATGTTTACTTAGAAATAATATAAGTTGAAGTGTATTACTTATATGTATACACTTTTAAACTTTCGCGTAGCATTGTACTAACATTTGAAAACGGGAATAAACGCGTTTACATACGAATAGGTATTTTTCACACCTACTTTTTTCCGTTTCCGAACGTTTGTATTACATAAGTATACATATATTTAAGAATACAAAAAAAATACAAATACAAATTATTATAAATTGTAAAAATTGGAACAATCGACCACTGCAGCACTGTGTGTACATTATGTGATAATATAAAATTTTTAAGTATTGTTTACATTACAAATGTTTACATTCATTTAAATAACAGTAATGAAAACAACAAAAATGGAAGACATATTGCTTAATTAAATAATTTATAATCATTTAAAAAAATAAAAACATGTAAAGGGCTCATTAAAAACCTGCGCCACATTCTAAGCCTGTGGCATAAGCTGAATGAGCTCCTTTTGCGTACGCCACAACCGTACAAATGACAGTACTACAAATTGTAGTCGTTATATTTTGTGTATTGCTTTTGTCTCTTTTGTTTTACTTCATGTTGTTTTTGTTGTTGTATTTTTATTTTGTTTTTTAATTCTTTCTGTTTTCAAGTATTATTAATCTCTTTTTTTGTATCTATGTGCTGTGACGTTGCAATAAATGTCTATTCTATTCTACGCACCAGTCCTAAAAACCTCTGCAAGTAACTTTATAATTTTTTTCACTAAATATACCTAGTCATAAATTGACTATTGTGAAATAGTGCCACATAATTTAGGTTAATATTATTGTTTATTATTATATATATTAATAAATATATATTAATTTGTCTTTTATGAAGCTATTATAAGTGTACCTAATGTACTTTTTAATTTTGCCATTTCTTAATGGGATTTTGATTTTATTCGAGAGAAATAAATGTAGGCCATACAATTATTTCTTCCGCGCCGGGAATCGACCCGGGACCTCTGCGAGGCAGTCCAGTATGGTAAACCGTTCAGCCACCGAGGCAGTTATTTTCATAGGTTTGTGAAACTGCGAATTCAAAAAGAAACGTCTTTCCACATCGCGGTAGGCACTGGATCCAGTCTGAAACGACGAGAGATCCAAATAAAACATTATCGACGCGCAGCTCTACTGCATCTAGTGGCTTGACTCAGCTACTAGTGGTCGCGTTTGGTGACCGCGACAAGCGGCCCATTGGGCGGGGGCACTTAATTTATTCAAGTTCAGTATTGTATACAACAGAGCAGAGTTCCTCAATTACATACGAAATTCCTACAACACACATTGTGAAGTAATCTTCTGGTTCAGAATCTATACCGTGCAGTATCACAATATCTTCAGAACACTAGGGGAAAGGTGTACCAGATGATCCCCTTAAGGGAGAATGGTGGTAGTTTAAAAGATATTCAGCTTAAAGCAGATGTAAAAGCGTGTTGTCTTACTAAAAACGTTTTATTTTTTGATCTGTCATTATTATATTTGAATTTTTTTAAAATCCTACTAAAGGATCGTCTAAGGTTATGGGCAAGATGATCCAGGGAAACCTTGCCTCTATTTAGGATAATTTCTAGGTTTTGTTAGAAACAAATGAAACAACAACTTTTTAGACTTAACAAAGTCACAACAAACAACTCATGTAATCTAGGTATATGAAACAACATTTACGGAACTTCGAGAACAAATAATCCTAATTAATTTATATCTTACAGGTACCTAAGAGTGGGCGATATTGTTTTTTATGGCAAGTTGATATCCATCCTCGTCTCCATATTTAATGTACTTTACGAGCTCGATTTTCTGTTAACGCATCTGATGAAAACAGTTTTTTTTTACCTAAATATTTTATTGAACAGACAGACCCTTTATTTTCACCTTTAGCCCGTGTTTTTAATATCATAACGCATACCTACTGCTAACTATATACTTGTCGATTTATGTGGCGTCCTACTTTTTACGCCTCTAGTTCTTTAGATCATAGTCTTTCGACCACCCACCATGAATGGTTTTTCTTTTACAATTACGCGGCCTGGTCTAAAACAAGAAAAAGCATTTATATTTGTTATTAATCCAGATCGATCATGTAAACGAAATTCAGTCTTCTACTATTTTATTCGTATTGCAAGCTATTTAATTAAGAGGTTTCAGTACTCAAAAACATACAAATTAAATAAAGTCCGTTAACAATATATTCAGTACAAGATGATCCCCACGGATCATCTCGTACACCAAAACCATAATCATCTTGCCCCAATTCACTTATTTTTATTTTTTGTTCGGCAAACTAACCTGTATGCTGTCTACTGTTACCACGCCATTAAAAAAGTAAATAGAGCATTATATAAAGCCACCAACACAAAAATCTTTGCAATTGATTGCTTAGAATGGAAGTTGCCTAAGCTTTTTAATCAACTTTACCTTAGATCAAACTCACACAATTTTTGTTTTTTTCCACAAAAATGAACTCGTCACTCACATCGCTATTACGAATTCACTGATGAGAGGGCACATTGAGACCTACATTTTACTGAAGAAAATATCTAGATGACGTTACTAGTTTCGCTAGAATTGAAAATTGAAAATCATCTTACCTCCAAGGATCATCTCGTACACCTTTCCCCTACGTAGCGAAAGTGTGTGGTAAAGTCATTGACTTACAATTTTATGGACGTCGGGTCCGCGCTAAAAAGTGTCCGCACTTGTAAGGCGCTAAAATCGTATACAGAGCGCGACACTCCGCTTTAGTCTTCATTTGTTCTACTGACAGCGCGATACTGCGATGACATTACAATTTAAATTTCGAATAGGTTGACTTGGGACATTTTTTTCGTGGTTTTTGTATTAGACCCGTCGTCCATTTATTTGTAAGTCAATGGGTAAAGTGCATGATTTGTATATAATATTTAACTTAGGGCCAGCGCAAACCGGCAGACGGGAAGGCAGAGGACATTAAATGTATATTTTATGCTCTCAAAGCATCATAGCGCATTCGTCTGTTTAAAGGTAAAACCACATAAGTGACATTTTCCACCAAAGGTCTTTAAGTTATATAGCTATGATAAGAAAATCACTATCTTTCTGCACGTGATACTCAACAACAAAAGCTATAAACTTAATTAGTAGTTTTATCTGAAGAGAGATAGTGAATTTCTTACAACTGGCACATAGGTAATTTGGACATTTCACTTATCATGAGATGTTACATAATATGTGGTTTTACCTTTAAGCAGACGATTTCTCTCTGCGGTGTTGAAGAGCACGCTAGAGGATACCGCGGTGGGAATCCGTCGGTATGCGCGGGAATCCAACGATGCCGGAATCTGCCTCAATGCGCCGCCGCCGCCGGAGACTTCTCGATTGCACAGGTAGTCGCTCGTAGAAAGGATTCAAATCCGAGCGATTGGTGGCATGTCGGACGACGCTGCGGCATTCCAGCGGACCCTATGGTACGCTGGTGGACGTTCACTGTATCGTAAGGGATATTCGTTCCTCATTAATGTGCGCTAGCGGGTAAAAGATCCCTTTCGATACTCTCCCCCGCCGTCCGCCGATTTGCGCTGGGCCTTATGTTATTTCGTGTACTTTATACGTTTATAACTGATACCCATTCGGAACAGGGTATTTTTCAGAAAATGTTGCCAATTTAGGTGTACCACAAACATACTTGTATGTGTCTGTGAGGTGTACCTACGATATTTTTTCGAGCTTATAGACATGTATCCTTTTGAATTTTCTTATATGTATATTTAAATCTAAATAAATATTAAACATACTAAATATAATTTTATTTAACGCTTTATTTTTTTTTCATTCAACTTATTTGAACTCGTACACATACTCATACGACCTGCATGTACCTGGTAGGTATGCCTTGTAACGTAATAATAGTTATTTGCTACCTGCATGGCAGTTCGCCGCGTAGGCAGGAGCCTGCTCACACACTATCCTGCGTAGGGCCCAAGTATGGAGTCTCGTAGGACACTTTGCGGATTGCTCGCTGCGACTGCAATTGACTACATTCATAATCCTGCATTACGCGGTGGACGGCAAAGCAGACGGCAATGCAGGATAATGAATGCCCTTTTTTATGCAAGGCTGCAAAGGTTGAGAAAGCGAAGAACGCTAGATTGAACCACGACGGAAGAGAGGCGAAATTGAGACCTTCCCTTACATAGGAATAAAAAAAAGAATAATTATTTGTTTAAAAAAATGTATCATAAGAATGTTATAACTTAAGCTAATATTTTTGTTATTTTAATTACAAAAAATACATGAACTTAATGGATTAAAGTTGTCTAATATTACATTTTTTTATTAAACCATATTTTGAAAGGGGATTCGCGGGGTCAAGGTCAAAAGTCATATGGAACCACTATTGCCACTATCGACCAAGTAACAATATCTAATAAGTTTTAACTCTACAGCTACACAGCTTAACAGTAATGAGCTATTTTAAATGAAGTTTCCGTTTTCATACATTTAAAATGTTTAAGACTACTTCGTTGTATTGAGCGGTGAAATAGGTTTAATTAAACTGTTCGGTTTTATGTCATTTTCAGAAACAATCGACAGGTTGCAAAAAGAAAAACAGTACTTCATTTTTTTAAATTCCTATGTAAGGGACGATCTCAATTCCGACCAGTGTGCACCGCGTCGAATTAAATGGACGAGCTCGCGCCACGGGTGAGAACGGGCGGCAGTCGCGCATTCTAGTATTTGTCAAGAGCTTAGTATAATTCGACTCATCCGTAGAA